GAGCCGCGCGACCACCACGCGCGAGAAGTAGCAAAGAGGAAAACGGTGCAAGGCCTTACCGTCGTGATCACCGGTCGCCTATCGCGTTCCATCTCCGCGCGCGATAACATCGAAGAGAACGAGTTTGACGCGAAGATGCGGCACGCTAACGGGACCTATGCTCAACCTCCATTTGCTCGAATCCCATGTTGGAGAACGATTTGCCATCAAACTTGAAACCCGTTGGCGATATCGTTCCGGTTGCGTGGGGCGATACGGCCGATGGTGGCGGACAAGGAAACGCGAAGGGAGGCGAACGTAACGTTCTTGTCCGCAGCGGTGCTAGATCTGGCGTTACGCGTTCCACCTTCCACGTTACAGGTTACGCGTGGTGCATCGCCGCTCGAGTTCACCGGACCAGGCACGCTCTACCGGATCCGAGGCACGCTGTTTACGCTCGCGTTCAAACAGGAAATGCAGCCTTCGCCTGCTGCCCCTCGCCTTGCGACCCTCTTCCTCCTTTTCCTCTTTACTCTCCTGTCGTTTCAACCGTTTCCCTAGATCACGAATTTCTCTCAACGACCACGAAACCAACGATTTCGATTTACCTGTAACCTTAAATCCGGAAGAATCAGCATCGTTCCCCGAGTTTCTGGGTACACTATCGAAAATATTCGAGTATTCGGCTAATTTCCTGCTCTCCCGTCCTTGGAACGAGCACTATTTAATGCCAACAAGTGGAAGCCACTGCTAACGGGTAGATCGCGAAAATCGAGTTCCCTCCTGACGAGGAACGATTCAAAATAATCGACCTCTCTCGATCGCGCACACGTCGAACAACGATAAATCCGTGTCTCTCGGTTCCATAGCCAGTTGGGTAGTAGAAACACCTAGTATGCGTAAACCAACGCGAAATATATCGATCGTGTTTCTTCACATTCCACTCGCGTATACAAATCGCGCTCGAAACGATAGACGGAACGTTACAGAGGTAGACGCGTTCGATGTTTCCGCGATGCGTTTCTTTTCTATGGGAAAGCGGAATTCCCAGGGCCGACGAACGGTGTTACCCTCGTGAAAAGGAGGGAGAATGAAACGAAGTTTCAGTGAGAGGGGATATAGACGAGTGAGAGCAGGAAAGAAGAGAAGATCGTCCGAGAAGATTTACAGATCACCGTTGACTCGCATCGATCGAAGCGCACGGAATAGCGTGCGCGCGCGCCCAACACAGTCCGCTGATTTCTCACCTTCCGTGGTCTATTCCAGTTGACGACCGATCGGGCCCCTTTACTCCTTCGGCAAATGTCGCTTCGACTCGTCACAGTCCGCTCCCTTTCGGGTACCCTCGGACTGTTTCGTTTTCTAGTCCCGTACTCCACCACGAATACTCGCAATAATTCGGATTCGCGCACGCACGCCGATCTTCGTAGCCACGCTAGACGAGTTTTCGATCGATTCGCGTCGAGCAATCGCGTATCTCGCGCTTTCGTACGCGCGGAACGCCATTTCTCGGTCGTCACTGCTTCGCGTAATCTTCCACTCGAGATCGTTTACCTTACTTTCGAGTTTCTTCTCCGTTCGGCGAATATTCGTACCAAATCGTTATGCCTCGGATACATTTTCGATGCGAGCGATCATAGGGGATGGTCGATAATTATGTAACCGATTACGCGATGCGTCGTTCGATAAGTACGATTTGTTCAAACATTTTCACCTTAAGTCGTGCAAATTTCGATCATGTACTTTTTCAGGCAGTTGACGATCACGGTGAATAATCCTATCCAGGACCGATATTCTAACGTTTATCAATGGAGAAAGTCGAAATTCTATCTGTCACGTTTCACTTTCCGAATTATCCATCGTGGATCGGTGGAATGTTTGGCACTTTTTCGAAACGCCACCTGTAACCGTGACTTTTTTTTATTCGTTGTTGCAGTTCTATCGCGTTTCGCACGTTTCACCGTCATATGTGGCGAGTGCGCGAGCTCCATATGTGTCGAATCACTCGATGAGACGCAGGAACACGAGTCGTCCAACGTTGTTCGATCAATGGCAGAAAGATGGCGTGCGATCGAACGAAGAAATCGTACGAGCGCGTTACGATCGATCGGCGAAAATACGTCGCGACTAAGCCTAACAAGATTGAAGCTAGCATACTCGTGTACGTTCAAATAGGGGCGCATACTTTTTTCTTTTCGCAGAATTTATTATCGCTGCGACTTACTGCTTCGGGAAAATAAAACGATGAATAAAACCGAGATTGCGACGCGTTCCCAACGCGACATTATATTGTGTAAACTCGCGCGTCTCGGTTTGGTTGACACAAACAACAACAAAGGTAATGTGTATGACGTATGACGCACGATGTATGACGCATAACTTAAAGCCGTAAAATGAAAAATTCGTTTACTGCACTTATCACGATACTCACCCTAACGAAACGTGGCTTATGAATATCGTCTTCGACGATATCTCCCGACACGATAGGTATGTTCATTGTATTCTATCTAGCGCGCATTTGCATTCTATCGAGCGCGCAACACGTTTCACCTTCGGAAAGCGAGAACACGATATTCAAGATAGAACAGTGAACGTGTTGTTCACGATGTCAATGTTTCCTTTTCCCGTATCCTTGGATCGAGATGTTCATAATCGTAATCGCGAGGTGTTCGTAAAGGAACAATTGGCTGGCGCGATCGAACAGAGATATGGATCGATTCGGTGGAAAAGCAAGGATCCAGACTGCAGCGTCGATCGGTCGTCCTCTAGTCGATATTCGAGGTTGCACAGTCCGCTGAACGACGCGATTCGTGCGGAAACCGAGTACCCGCTTTCCTTCTCGGTAACGAGACTAGACGAAACCGCAGCACGAGCCATCGGTTAAAGATATTTCGAGGTTGAAAATGTCGTGGTCTTGGTCACTCGCGATCACGTGCTCGCGTGCCACAGTTCTCGAACACGTTTCAACGTGAACGCAGCCGCGTTTTGACGTACCGAACACGACTGCGAGACTAGTCGAGAAATACTATTTGCCGACGCGAACGCGATCGATGCACTGTCGAGAACGTCGAAACGATAGAAACACGTCATTTGCTTGTGCCCCAAGTTGCTGTCCGTTGTTGCCTCCGTACTACACTCGTTCATCCAACACACGCGTGTACTCACAAAGGCATAGGGTCCTCTGATCGCACGAATACGCGAGACCTCGCCTGCTCGCAGATGGATTCAACCGTTCTCCCGCAGGTGTGCACGCGAGTATGGGTGTAATGACGCGGCCAACACTATCGCTAGTGTATGCGTGTGCGCACGAAATATCCCATCGGTGTAGCTGTTATGTCGTAGGGCTTCTTTCTCTCTCTCTCTCTCTCTCTCGTTCGTTTCTCGAGCGACGATCGAAAGGCCGCGGAGCAGCAAACTCTATTCGATAATTTCGATGCGATCTCTGCTATTTCGTTTACTCGAACCACCGCCGTCCATGCAATTGCGAGAATTCGCGCGAGAGATTCTTTTTGAAAGGATCGCGACCGGTTACGCCAATGCTTCCGTAGCTGGTATATATACCCGCGACACACTTTGCGATACCGATCGTCGCTCAAACACAAACCATGTTTTCGCGATTCATCCATTTAGTTATCGAATACCACTCCCTTCGATCAAAAAGGTGTTTCTATGTATCGTAGTAGTATAAGTAAAGAAAACACGCTACGTTCGATTGTATTGATCGCAATGTATTGATACTATCTAAATTCACATATTCACAATATAGGTACAAATTTCTGTTGGATCCGACGTCAGTACATACAGTATAAACAATCGTCGAATTCGAGATTCGAAAAATAAATTGGTCTTCGGTTACGTTAACGTACCATTCGCATCCATGGCCTAAAATATGTTGAAATTTTTACAGATTGTTTCACGTTCGAACGTCTTTTCCCTCGACGTTTTCATCGATTTGGCACGGTTTTCAAAGGTTTCGCGTCGAGTCAACGAGTCGATTATCGCTACGCCCGTGTTCACGCGATCGAACGAGGCTGATCCATCACCGTGCTCGAGGGATCAGCCGTCTTTGGATAAAAGTTAAGAAAAACACTTGCTGCACGCGAATGTACGTATATATGCATATTTACATCGTATGTTACTTTGCAATTGTAAAACGCGAACTTTACGGCTAGTAACCAATTTAAAAATAGATCGATCGATAAATCGAAAATCTGGTAGAAAATTCGGTGAAACTACTTTTCACATGTATTACGTTTATCGACGCATCGGAGTAGCATTCAACGTCATATCGTATATATTATTATACCTACGAAACAATCTCTTGAGACATATCAAATAGAGCAATAGGAAGACTGCTAAATTAATCGTAACTCGTAAAAATCGAAGCTCGTTCTTCCTCTGTAAACCGATACCGAAGAGTCGCGAGGCTTCCCGAGTTTGTCTTTCTTTCTTTCTTTCTTTCCCCGCTTCATCGTTTACCGATAAAACAAACATTCGATCCATCACAGTTTTGAGTTTAGGACGGAAACAGGATATTCCATGGATTATGCCGAGCTTAACAGTTCTCTGCAACAACGATCATTAGGCAAGGTATTATTTCGAAAGTAATCTCTCTATCTGTCTATCTCTGCCGATTTTATTTTTGTCGCGATCTCTTCACGCAATTTAGGAACGTATCGTACGCGATAATCGTTTTCGAATATCGTGATATCGATACGCGTATAAGTACCACATCGTGGCGAAAAGATCCAAATACGTATACGCTTAATACGTGTCTAAATACTTACGTCGAAAGTTCCCTTCCCAGTAAACCAGTCCCGACTAATCCTGTACGCGATCGACTTCTATTAAGTTGAGCTCTTCTCTCTGCTGTAAAAAAGAAACATTTACGTCGTATGTATCCGTCTGTTGTACACTTGTACGTGCTATATTAACTCGATCGGTTTGCGTTACGAACGATCTACGTTGTAATCCTTTCTCACACAGCTACCTAAACTTAGCTGGCTAAATTAACTACTGTTTCAGCGAAAATAGTTTAAATACTGATCGATAGTACAAAAAATTTCCTTTATTTATTTGAAAATTACGATATTTACAACGGATGCGATTACAAGTGATCGATGTAGGCGCGCGAGTATATATTCGACGTTCGTCTCCGTATCTAGATCACAGAATGTTGTACAGTCGATAAGTTTTCGTTCCTAAAAAATTAACGTTAAATCGTATCTCACGTGTTTCTTTCTTCTTCACTTTTTTTCCGCTTTCGATAGACTTGCAAAGTCTCCGTCCTCGATTAGTCGTCGAGCTAATGCGATTTTTTTTTAAAATGAGACCAGCTAGTAAAAATGAGCAATGAGAAGTCAAAGATGAAAAATGGATAAAGTAAAGCGAGCGTGCGTTTGAAACGGCCAAACGCCATCCAATGACATGAAATTGAAATTTCGTAAAAAAAAAGAAAAAAAGGAAAGAACCGAAAAGTAACTAAAGAAAAAAAGAAAAAAAGATGAAAGAAGCGATGAGGCGAGATTCAGTCTTGTCTTGTGGTAAAAAGTACAGGAAAGTAAAGCATCATATCCTGAAACCGTCGTAGTCGTGTAACGTGTCATGTTCGAAAGCATCGCGATAACGTCTACGATAACGATACAGACGTTCGACGTGTACCGTCTACCAAAATTTCCAAGCCCTTTTCTGACGTTTCCTTTTCATTAGAACGGTTTGTTTCTCTTTGGTTGTAATCGAAGGTATATCAAGGTGAAAGATATCGAGGTTGTTGTTCATTCGAGACTCGAGAATGGTGTCGGTCATTTGGACAGCGAGTTTGTTCGATTCGGTCGTTTTCGTGCTTGTATTCGCGATTTCAGGTTGAACTAAACGTTTCGACATTGTGAATTGGCCGTTCGAATGCTGTACGTTGCACAGATTGTTCTCGTTCTCGTCTTTCCAATGAGCGTTATTGTTGCCGAAATTTTTCGTTCGAATCAACTTTAACGGAGAGGAGATCGTTTTGCCGATTCTCGTCGCGATATCACCCATGGATCGCGATATTCTGGTCGACGCAGTGTCGGAACTGGTATCGGAAGCACGGCAAACGGAATAATTTTCGATCAGCGAAACGCTTTCGCTGCTTGGGCTGCCTAAATAACCAAACGATTTCGTTTCACCGGCGATCGCCGACCTCCTCGCATGCTTCGATCTACGACTTTGAACGGCACGACGCACGATACTGTTTCTCTTATGTTTCTTACTTACTATAACGCGTCGTCTTCTCAACGGGCTAAGTTTTAAAGCTTCGCCTACTAAAACCGTCTGATACAAAACACAGGGTGAAAGTTGTAAGCTCGAACACGGCGACGGATCGTTCGACGCTAGAGATTCGACGTGCGTCGGTGTGCGCTTCTTCAGTTCGTCTATCACGAGTCCATATGACGAGGCCGACGATAAAGTAGCAGCGGTCACGACACTACATTGAACAGAATTGCTGGATGAATTCGAGGTTTTATCGAAATTTCGAGATCTTCTTATAGAAATCTCTCTTCTCGGAGTTTCTTCGATCATCGATCGATCGACGCGTGCTCTCTTGCATACGATTTCGGCTTGTTTGCTTTTCTGAAACGAACTGATTCTAGACAGAAAATTCTCTCGCTTGGGCGCTCTCGTGGCCTGATCGAGCAACAAACACTTATAGAGATGTTGATTCTCTTCCGGTGTCGTATACTTTTCGAGATCGGAACTTGCCGAGCTCGTGACTGCGCCACGAGGAAGAGACGAGGCGACGGTTTTATTTCGATTTCGCCGCTCGGCTTCTCCCGATTCGTACAATTTAGCCAGCAACAACTTCTCCTTCTTCGTAGATTTCGTCGTAGCATATGCAGCCCTATAGAACTTACCACCAGCGGCGCGTACTTGACGTTTTCGTCGTTGATCCGGCCGACTGAACGCGGAACCAGTTTGAAGAGCCTCCATCAAGCTGTCCATGACACCTTCCTGCGTTTCGTGGGCGTTCATGTCAACCAGTGCTCGTTTTCGCGCAGCCCGTGCTGCTTTCTCCGCTTCTGCTTTTTCTCGTGCCTCTCTCGCTCGTCTTTGTTTCTCTTCTCCCTCTCGTAGTTTTATTATTTCCCTCTGAGCGTGCTATAAGAAAGAAGGAAGAATAGAAAAAAGAAAAGAGAAGAAAACGTATCGAAACAAACAGTCCAATTCTTCTTGATTTCTTCGCTTACCATAAAATCGTCTTTAAACGTTTTTATATCCCCAAAAAATTCTTCGATCGTGTACTTTTGCTTGTCGAAAGAAAAAAATTCCGAAATTTCGGTGTACAAACTGTCCATATGTTTAAACATATTTTGAAGAACTTCGTAAGATTCACGGGCTTTCTTCGCAAAAGGCTGCGAGTCGATTACGCGATAATTAAGGAAAATAGATATATATACGAATACAATGCTCATTTGATCAACGACGATTTGATCATCGATCGAACCACGTAAAAATAACGTTCGTAACGTTTGAAAGCGGGCAAAAAGAAATGCAAAAAAGGATACACCCATAACATGCAGGAACAAATCGTCGTTCGATTGTGGGATTTTGGCATTCGATAAATCTTGTTCAAGATTTCGAATATTGGAATCCATCTGTCGCAATGTTCTCTGTACATTTTCTAAGGAAACGCGACTAGCTCTGTCCACGTGTGCTAGCTCTTCTGGGAAGCTCAGACACTCGGGGAATTGTCGCTCTATCGTGTCCACCAAATAGTGCATCAGAGTTTGTTTGTTGTCGACGTCCTTGGTGCTTGTTAACTGAAAATCGAAAGGAAAGATACGATATCGCGAACGATGGCGACACATCTCGTGTTTACGGTCCAATGACAAAGCGTTGCAACACACCTTGGTAAGAAAACTGATCTCGAATCCGAAGGCTTGGCCGTTTTTCGAGCCGGAATTCATGTAATTGCCAAGCAGGAGAATAAGTTCGAGAATTTTGGCAAATTTTTTGCTACCTTTTACTTCTTCGCAGGCTGCCGTCCCCGCTACTATGTCCGGCTTTACATCTTGCACCAGTTCTTCGTACCGTAGCATGAAACTTAACGATCTCAGTCTCGGCAATAATCTCTTGATCGTTGATATCTATAGTACACATCGATTCGAAGATGTTTCAATGATCTGATACGTTCAAAGAATCTTCGTCTTCCGCATGAACGGAAGGTTGATCGAGATGTTTCGACTGTACTCACGGTAATGCAAAATTGTTCGGCCTCTGTCAAGTCGTCGTACTGATCTTTGTAGAGTTGTAGTTTCGACAGTTGGTCCGGTGGTGGTAAATACTGTATCAGCCCTTGAAGTATATTGTCCGAGATAACGGGCCCTTCGCACTTGAGTAAACACGACTTGACCTCTTCGTACGACGTGTGTTTTAAAGTACCGTTAAGTAGTATAAGAATATTTTGTGCAGCTTTGCCATCCAGGACTTTAAGGTCTTTAACTTTCTTCGATGGAGCTGATCTGCGCAACCAGGAGCAAAAGATAACAATTACGTTAGCAAGATTCTTTGTGTTTCACATATTAACAACAACGGATAATCGTTATTAGATCGAGAGAATGATTGGAACGCTGTCAAATTACTTGTCCACGACATCGTCGATTTTCTTCCCGCTCGGTTTCGATGCGAACTTTTGAACTAAGCCGTCTAATATTTCGGGCCTGGCCAACTTATCCTCTTGCACTTTTGTCCAAAACGATTTTTCGGTAAGTTTATGAGGCATGATCTACGGCACGTGTTGCATCACAATAGTTTTCTAATTAGAAGAAAAAGGAAAGTCGTATCTGATAGATATTCACCGCCTTCCAGTTTGCTCTCTTCAACGGTGCGTCAACTTCCCACTTTTTCTTCGGCTTCAGTCCTAAAGGTAGCGATTGCGGAGCAGCGTTCAAGCCTGGAACGAACCCAGGTATCATCGGTGGAGGTACCGGACCGAATCCTGGCATCGGTGGAGGTGCCGGTCCCGATCCCGGGGCCATACCAGGCATAGGCGGTGGCGGAGGTCCCGCAAATCCGG